CACAGCTAATTTCCATTACGTAAAGAGCTTTGTGAAAGATTTATCATTTTGAATGAAGATTTAGCATTGATTCAAGTTGCAAGATCTAACGGCAGTTCCAACATATCGTGGCTGTTCTGAATTTATAAAAAATGGCAATAGAGATCATTGTAAAGATCAACTCGATGAAATTTGTTTTCAATACACTCATCGGAACGACATCTTTTACATTGCTAGACAGTCATGTTTGCGCTATATTAATGCAAAAATGGCTACTGTTGAAACTTTGTGTAAGCAATCTAAAAGGTCCTCACTGGTCAGACGAAAAAGAGACGTTGTAACTGGAGTTATTTTCGGTGCTTCGCTGCTAATACTGGGTACTAATATGCTTTATAACAGTTTTAACAGTCGTTCCAAAACGATTGATGAAATTACTAATGAATTTCTCAATCACACAACAAGAGCGTTGAGAGCCCAACAAGCTAAAATGATGACGATGGCAGTCGAGTTATCGGAACTAAAAATCAGAGTGGCCCAGCTTGAACATATGTCATTTGAAAATTCATTTAGAGCATCTGACATTTCTTTTGAAATGAACAAAATCATATCTATCTTTGAAGACACGAAAAATGCTATTCGACTTCAAGGAACAATACCAATTTCCACATTTAATTTCTTCAATTTAAAACTACCATGTGGAAACTCATGTCCATTGTTTACAGTTACCGAAGCGAATTGTCGAGCGATTCCCAAGCAACTTCTCTAACGAAAGTTGGTTTATGGAACTGACATTCAAAGTTAAAGAGATTGCAACAGATTTAGTGGTGCAAAAGGCTGATCCGTTTATTCTTCTTGGAAAAGACAATCAAACCGTGTGTTTAAAGAACTACAAAGGTCCACAGTATATAGTCGTAAATGAAACTTCGACAGAAATCTGTGCAATAGATGCTGAAGAGACTAAGCAACTCTACTTAGTTCACTTTCCAAACTATTGTGACAAATCTCTGAACATTGATTTATGGTCGAAAGAAAATTGTGTCGAAGTATCCAAATATAATATAAGAAAACCGCAAATTAAAATTGTTAATGATCATTTCTATATTTACTGTGTTGGACACAACATAACAATGTTTGGTAACACCAAAGAATGTCCAGATAATATTCTTAAAATATCAATGAATCTGAACTTTGCAATTGATAACATCACTTATACTGTTAGTCAACTTGCGCATCTGGAACATTATCAAATGACTCCAGTGTCAAACCTGATTAACTGGAAATTAACAAATGTTCAACCGACCATTCATACTAAGCCATATGATCTTGATGTTTTAGAAGATTTGGTAACGAGACATAAAGATGCTATTGATGACTCCGAGTCATGGATTGACTGGATTAAAAGGAGTCTAATCACTGTACTATTAGCAGTCATAACCATTTGCGTCATGCTGCTTATCATATCGAAGTTGTTCAATATGATATTTTATTGTATCAAAAGACCAATCGTCTCAGTGAATATAGTCCCTGATCAAAATACCAGTCGCATGGATGCACTAAGAAGAGTGCCAGTACCATTAAGCTCGCTTTATTAACCACAATGCTGCTATTTGTCGCTAAAATTATGATTATTTATATTAACGTAGTAAATGTTTTGTTTCTCTAGATTTCTCTGCAAACTATGAATCAGCCATCGACCTCAAGAAATCCAGTTCCTTTCATTGATCTGGAGTCGATTCAACAGCCGCAACAGCCGAATAGATGGGATAATTTTGCAGTTCCGGCTCCTGTCCATGACCCATTTGATTATGATAATGACCTGCCTCCTCCCAATCCACATGTTTTAAGGATAATGGAACATGCTCCAGAACCAGATCCTTACCAGTTAACGCAAGACAAATTCGTGGATACACAAGCCATCAAAGATTTTGAATGTGTAGTTTGCATGGATATAGTTTTTGAACATAATAGGTCCCAGACATGCAACCGTTGCCTTAAATCCCTGTGCCCCAATACCTGCCTTCGGGCATACAAAGTATCTAATCCTTCTTACACAAGGAGATGTCCAGCATGCAGGGAACCTTTCCGGTTTCGTAATAGACCAAGAACAGGGCCAAAATCGATCGAAAAGTTTGATCAGTTATTAGTTCATTGCTTTTTCAGTCCATCATGTCAGGAAATAATGATACTTGAGAAATATCCTGAACATGTCAATATTTGCAAGTATAATGTTGTAAATTGCAACAGGTGCTCTAGCAAGGGAGGTAATCAAGAAATTCATTTAGGATATTGCATGGATGAACTTAGTTCGATTCATGCAGAGCTAGAAGATAAGAAGCAGTCATTGACCAGAGCAGCTATCACCATAGAGGTGCAAAAACAAATGATAGAAGATCTGAAGGCACAATTGAGGCAGAAAGAAAATGAGCTACAGCAAAATAGCTCCGATGAGACTATAGCCACTATAAGCAATCCTGTGCGTAGTTTAAGACCAACACAGGGGAAATATACCAAATTTACAATCAGGTATTTAGATCAAACTTTTCAAATCGAAAATCTTTCTCTCGATGCTCCGGGCTCTGTCCTACGTTCTGAGATAGAGAGATTAGTTGGAGGAAAAGTTGGTACTATTTTACGAGCCGATCACACTATCATCAGTGATGAGAAGCTTTTAAGACAGCACCAATTATGCTATCAGCCAAAGGTGATCACTGTATTACCAGCCGATTTTATTGTTAATGAAGGTGCTAAACTACGCATTCAGATCAACAAAGATGGAAGGTAATAATAAGTTGTAACTGGACAGTGGCTGTCCAGAAAAGCGACCGGAATATGTAACGAAAATAGATTTAATGGTTTAATTTAATTGCTTTTCATGTTTATGCATATTTTCAATGTTTATTCAAATTGCTTCTGTAAACCCATTGGTTTTGCCAGATGGGTTACGCTGAATATAAAAGCTTAAAGAATGCAAATAAAGAGTTAGACTCCCTTAAAAGAGTTTCAATCCCAATGTAACAAACGAGGTTCAATAAAACCGTTTCTTTTGCTAAAAAGTTTACAGCATTCATCGGATTGTGATTTCAATTGCTAGCTATAAATTATTTCAATACACTTATACTAAAATACTACAATATACAATACGACTGACAAAAAAAGATTGCCTTAAACGATTACTCCTGTGTATAAAGTAATTAGATTTCCACATTTCTCACAATTTAAATAAATAGCATGATTTGCACTTACCTTTGAAGCAGTTTATTAGATCTTCAAAATCTTGTATGTAATCAAGAATAGCCAACAAACAATCATCTGGAAGTTCATTTATTAACATTTTTAAATCAATTTTAAAACGGTAACTCTTTGAGTAAATAACTTTAATCGGTAAGGCTTTAAAAAGGCGTCAACACCTAAACATATGGAGAGATATCCTAAAAATCACACTTTATCTAACCAATTAAACAATCAAGAAAGCGCAACAATGGTAGAGTACATTATTCGGTTCTTTTGTATTTTTGGATTTACTCCATCTATCTGGTCGCAAAAGAGATATTAATAAAATGATACTACACTAGTTTCACGGATAAGTTAATTTTTTTGTAAGTGCCATCTAATACTACTGTATACGTAAGATGCTTGATTATCCCATTGGCAGTATAGTAGACGGCGCACATCAAAAATTAACTTATCCGTGAAACTTGAGTAATTTTCTTGGTTAAATTTTCTTAATTTTAAGTTTCAATAGATGGCAATCTAACAAAAATACAAATGAACCGAGTAAAAAAGAATCGAGTACTCTACTGTATAAATAAAATTCATGGTTTTTGACTTGATTCAAGAAACATTAACCTTTTTGGAGTCAACTTGAATTGTTTTGCAAACTCGATTCCTGATTTCTATTTATCTTCGTCTGAACCAATTTTCTGATTAAAATTAAAAGGCATTAAACTGTTGAAAATTCTTCATTCCATCTCATGGCGAAACAAACTTTTTCGAAGCTGTAAAAGCTTTCAATGTTCGAGAAATGCTTTCTTTACTATTTCCTTTAGAATCACTCGTATCTCCATGTTTTTTTCTTGTTTTTCCTCTTTTTTTCATTGTGTTCATCCAGTTTCATGACCATCGAAAACAAAATAAAAAGGATTAACTTGATTGGAACAAAGTTTAAAGTTCTCTCCATATGGCTAACGCCTTTGTCCGTAAAAGTAAAGCCGTACTCTTTAATCTTATCAATTTCTAGTGTCAACTATGATAAGAATTAGAAACCACAGCTGGTCGACTCAGTCGAAAAATCAGTTGAATGTTCAACGGCTTAGCCGTGCAAATGATTTTAAATAAGATCAAATAAAATTTTATATTGGAATTGTAAGATTTGAAGTGCGTTTTTGCAATAACAATAAGATTCAAGAACTTTTTTGTGTGCTCGAAATATCGGGTTGAAAGGTTAGCCAAGATGATGAATTTTATGAAGATAGCAACATTTCTTTAAATAACGTGAACCTCACAGCTGAAACAAAAAATAAATAGAAAAGATCGACAATTATGTTATCATTTGCATTTCTAATCATCTATTGGATCCAAAAAATGAGGCAAATCATTGAAACTTTTGAAAAAACAGTGTTCCATGAAATCAAATCCGCGACAGATTTTTTCAGGTCGATTCAATATCTGCGGCCAATCATATTCAATTTGCTTGTCGCCTTTTTTAAAATAAAACTTGACCGATCTGCCATGCTGTTCACAAAAATTCTGAACATAATCAGCAGCTTTTTGAGAGACTCCAAAAGATTTACGAATATCAAGTAGTGTTAATTTTGGCAAAATCAATATCAATTGCTTGATGTGTTGCTTTCTTAACCAGATATTCCGTAATGACAAATGCTTTAAATTAGGATACTTCGACATTAACATGGGTAGTTCCTTCCATTTGGCATTTTTATACTATTAGAATAGAGAAAAGAGTCAATTTGTTAAACACTACTTTGTTAATAAAATTACAATGAAAAAAAATTGCTGAAGCTCAAGAATAACAAGCAAAATCATACTCACAAATTGTATAACCAAATTTTGTAAGTTTTCATTTTTTACTGAATAATGGGTGAGAATGGGACCGCAAGCAATTTTGATATGAGCGCTCTGTAGCGCTGGGCACGAATCCATGAATACAAATGAACTGCAACATTTATCGCCGCGCGAGTCAAGAGAAGACACATCCAGTTCAACTATTTTAAGATTTCCCATACTGGACCATTAAAGTAAAATATTTTGGCTCTAACATACAAAGGTTGGTTAAAAACATTATAAAA